TCCTTTTTATGGGGCAGAGAAATGCGGTGTTTGCCTTATGCCAAAAACGTGCAACTTGTGGACGAAAAACACAAAATGCAGATGCAACAGCGGATAGGGCCCAAAATCATTCAGGAATTGACAAAATGTCTCAACTTGAATATCCTCTTTGAGTATGCAAATAAAAAACGGCTTTTTTTCAATATATGCACCGTACATGATCTCTATTAAATATTTTAAAATACATAATGAGTCAAAAATCTATGCACTAAATTAATGTATTGTCTATCTACTTATTTTTGCCAAGTGAGGTAGTTGAGGCTGTCGGATAGAAGTAAATTCAAAAACCAACATCCTAGCTTGCCTCAAATATCATGTGATTATGCTACATGATGGTCATTTTTACAGTTTTACTGGAGTAATCCGTTTTAATAGAAGACGCATCCCAGAATTTCGGCGGGCGCTTTTTGGCCTGAACATCTGTTTGCCAACACTAACAAGATCAACTATATGTTGGGTTTGAGTTTTATCGCCGGATTTAAGAGGTAAGCCAAAATTCAGACATATGTTTCGGAAAAAATGTGCTTCTTTTACTGTTTTCTCTAATTTTTGCAGTTAAAAGAAAGGCGGTTGGTATTTCAACAAATTTATACTAAACAATATGTATTTTTGGCGGGAAATCCACGTTTTCAGTTTTGTCGAAGTTCTTTGATTGTCTACCACGATTTTTCAGACCGTAATATTACTGGCAAATATAATACTGCGTGAATACAATTGTCGGAATGGTCATTGTACCTGTCAGACACAGAAAAATAACAGAAACAAAAGAGAAGCGGGATGTTTTGGTCTTCGATTCCGTGTTCCAGGTTGGAAAAGGGTTCCAGCCATCTGGCAGTGCCCACGCAGCAAGCAATATTCAACGCAAAATCAATATATTGCTTAACAAAATGAATGTCTAGTAGTCGAGAGGGCACAGTAGCTTTCACGCAGTTGCGTTTATGGCTCAAACGCGTTACCCATATGTCCGCAAAAAGGTGCTTAAGAGAAGCCCGACTCCAGTCAAAGTATCCGCTTGTGAAGGCCAGATTCGCCAACTCAGTCCTCATGCCATCTGGCATGTGCATACCGCGTGTTTAACATACATACAGGATCCACAATCTAACCGGGACCCCTCTCCTTTCCTCCCACTTCACCCCAAATCCACCCTCCTCAACACGCTGAATCCGTCATGCGGGCGGGGGGGGGAAACATGGAGTCCCCTAAGATACGTATATATCCTGTTCACGATTAAAAAGATCGTTACCCATGTAAATGTACTGGCCTGATGATGATTTATTGAAACAATATGCTTGTCAACTGATGTTTCAAGGACATGAAGGTTTGCGGCATTTTTTAAGAACTTTTAAAAAATTTTCCGTTTTAATTCAGGATACCGACTACTGTTCTGCCATACGATTATTTGGGTCCATTATTCATTCTTGCTCATTAATAATAGCCCTGAGCGACACCAATCCATACGTATTTTTACGAATATTTATAGAATCCCAAAGCAATTAGTCCTCTGACAAGAATTCTGACAACTTATAAATAGAATTTCAGTGAGTGACCTAACGTATGACGTGTGTCGAAATTTACGAATGACTGCAAATCACTCGCAGACCCACATGATTTCATAAATCCAATGTCGATATTAAGTAAGTACACGTTTAGGAGAATTAAAAATATAATAAAAGGCAGTGTTGCGTTGTTTAGAAATGCCGAGTTATTCTGAAAAGCGCAATGATCCAAAAACCTCAGAAATGACTGTTCTTAACGAAACTTTGTTTTTAGATAAAAAAAATTTATTCTCATGCCCAAAACGCAGTAAATATAAAAGTTCAAATTGAAATAACGTCTAGCAATAGTGTCTCCGTTCTCTTTGCATCTACCTATCGTCTAATAATTAGTGTAATTTCATATATGCCGGTTTGCCATATGCCTACATTCTGAGTGTAGAGTCTAAAACAGTTTTCCAGGGAATAGCGTTAACATTGACTCGTTTGAATTAAATAAGACGGATTCAACAAGAGAAAGTGGATTTTGCTTGCCATTCACTGATGGAGATGACGTAGGAACAAAGGTTTTCATAAGGTGACATGCTGAGGCCGGTCGGTGCCTAATTAACTAAAATAGAACTGACAGGCATGATCGTAAACATACCATTTTGTCTTTATAGAGAAACCCTTTCTTCCGCTAATTTAATTTACACTTTTTGTTCGTATAGGATTACGTTAGATTTCAGATCGGCTACGAATAATTGCTGAATACCTTATGATTTTCAGTGTTTTCACCCGATCGTCTACCATGACAGATTCTGAATTTTTTGTCTGTTGAGAACTTAAAAATAAGATTGTACTTGAAGGCATTTATAGAATTCGTGAGTGTCGGCCTTCCGTTTTTTACGAAGAAGGTCGTGTGTGTCACATTTAAAGACTTATTCAAACACCAAACTTTACTTTCGAGATAAAGCGGCTGTCCACAACGAATTTCAGCAATGAATATGCCTTTGATCAATAAGAAAACTCTCCCTGATAAGTTACTTCTTTAAGAAATGCTTTATTACTGCACTCCGTTGACGAATCTCTGAGTACTTTGCCATTTTGCACGATAGGGCTTTTGGCCCTTGCTCTCACGTGTCTAAACAATACCGTTATTTTCTACCGTCAACGTAAGAACATGCCTTCCTCTATACATTGAGGCCATTTCCACTGTTTTTGCTTGCTTTTAGACTCCGTTCTTCGATTATGAATGCACGACACAGCGCCCAAATAAGTACTGATATCTTGCTAAAACTCTTAATGTTTGCTCGTTCTATTTCTGAGTAAGTTATGCACGGAAACTAAACTACACGAAAAGTAGTGTTTTAAATGTTCGAAACTGGAAACGGCCATTTGGTGGTGGTCATTCATGTGACATCAGATAGACTTTTCAAAACGGCAATACAATTTCGGCCTATTTAAAAGAAGAAATCGCTTTCTGCGTTATTACTGCACTTTAGGGCACTAAATCGCACAGATGCGCTAATTTGACATTTACAAATTGATAAAACCTCTGGTTTTCTTAAACTAACCTTTGTGTTAGCAGGTTGATTACCACGGTTAACATCGGGCGCAACATAAATTTTCAAGTTCGGCTAAATCTGTCTATTAAAACCCTCGTAGGTAAATTACTATCCTTTCAGTGAAAAGTCGCTCAGATGCGTTGCCGGAGTCTAGGACATGTTTTAGCATAGGAAATTGCACAGATATATTCCAGCATCCATTTTTCGCTAAGATTTACTGATATTTTACTTGATATAATTATGTAAACACAATTCCTACACCAGAAAATGACATTTTATTGAAGGACGTGGTTGAGCGAACGGAATTCACAACGTTAAAGACGTCCAGAAATCGTCGCGTCAGTTCCCGTTGTCAGATTTCATGAGATAGGCCACGCACTGTATACAATCTCAAAGTCCCAAAACGGCACACTTGGAAGGAAGAAAAATAATTCAAACCATTTGCACCTTATGAGAGAGCAGAGTTCATTTTCTGCGAGCGTACGTCAAACGCACAAACTTGCATCGCGAGGTGGTCTAGACGTTCGGTGAGAAAAAAAACACATTCAGCCTCCATTAATCACTCGCCCGACGGATGCCAAACTTGTGCATTCTGCGTGCATAAGGCAGGGAAGAAGGATAAAAGGGAGTACGTGGCTGCCGGGTCGGTTGCTGCGTTCGCCTGAGTTTTCCAACCCCTGTCAGTGACCGGTAACAGATACAGAGGGAGGGAGGGGAGAGAGAGAATAAAGTAACGGCAGTGAATATCCAGCCCAATTTCGTCTTCTTATCACGCGCCCACAGCCTGTGTGCCGGACTGAAGCAGGGCCGCGTCAACTGCACGTGTAGCATGTAACAAGCAACGGAAAATCGATGTATCGATTTGCGCAGTTCATGCCGGATATCTAGGCCCACTGAGCAGCCCTCGATCTCGGGCGCAAACGGCACACGCGAAGAGAGATAATATTAACTTACTTTAGATCGTGGGTGGTTGATGACTCTCCTAACTGCCCCTTTGTATTGGTTTATGTGGGAGCTCGTTCATCTCGTCGTCCGGCCTGCATTGTGGGTGGAGTCCTTCTGGCATGATATCCGCCAGTGCCCACCCAGATTGCTCATTTGCGTCTACCAGGGCACTCATCCGTATGACGGTGACCGTCGGGAAATGGGCGATACACACGTCAAACTCTGCAGCAATGCGTCGTGGTGTTTCTGATTCATTTTAAATACACGACAGAGGACGCCAGCGTGTGGGTGGCTCTAACCAGTCTGCCCTCTGTAACACAACTTCGATGGGTTCGATACCGTAATTTAGCCGATTTAACTGTTGTCCCTCGACAGTAGGCCAGGAGTTGGACAACAGAGTTAGCGGGCGATGAGAATCCAGAAGGAGGCTGCGTATTTTCTACTAGTACCATATGAGTTTAAAATCTGAAACGAACGTATTAGCATGTCAGTAAGGATGAAAGAAGGAAGGAAATTGGCCCAGGAATAGAGCCATTTTTTCGCTTTTTCAAATTTCGAACTCGTGCGGGAGTCCATCGTCAGAGACAAGAGCAGCAGTAGAGCAAACGACATTCATAGGGTGCGTTATCCAATCAGCTCTTAGTAAAGCAGGTCTGGAGGTGACTGGAGAGGTGCCACTACCTACCCTCTGGTGGGGAAAGGGTTAAAAAAGGTTCCCTTTATAAAAACTGGGGAATCACGCCATCTGCCATTAGACCGTGGCTCAAAGATGCAAAACTCGTAGTCGAAACACTCAAATAAGCACTAACAACAACAACACCCCTCCTCCTTATCTACCCTCCGAATCCTACGGGCCGCTAAAGTGAGTCTACTCATTCTGGCAGTCTGGAATGTTCGTCCTGTTTTAGACATTCTGAGGTGCGTTCCAGCGAAACGGAGAACGGCGCTGGTGGCTCGGGAACTGGCGCGCCACAAGATGGCCGTCACTGCTGTCAGCGTGACCCCGTTCTCCGAAGAAGGCCAACCGAAGGAGGTAGGTGCCGGCTACACCTTTATTTAGAGCGCCGCTCAAAGCCAGAGCGACGCAACACGGGCTTCGCCTTTGTCATTCGGTACGCCATCGTCGGACGACTGCTCTTTGTGCCGCAGGGCATCCGGGATCGAATGGCTACCCTGTACCTGCCTGTTTGGGGATCCAAACCTACCACCGTCATCAGCGCCTACCCACCCCCCCCCCTCTACCCACCAATTACCAGCTCTGTCGAGGCGAGGAACAATTTGTACGAGGACCTACACGTCCTCCTGACGTCTGTGCTCAAGTCGGACAAACTGCCTGACTTCGGTGACTTCAGTGCCCACGTTGGGACAGGCGACGCCGCCTGGAAGGAAGTTACGGGTCTCCATGGTCTCGATGGCTGTAACGAAAACGGCCTTCTTCTTCAGCGAACATACGTGCAACATGGCCTCCTCCGTCATCCGACAAGAGAGCAAGCGACCTGGAGTCATTCCCCACAGCGGTGCTGACAGTTGCCCAATTCCAACACAAACTCCCACAGAACTGCACCAGGTCCCCTCTTAACATCTGTGACGAATGGCGAAGCATGCCATAGACAGTGGGTGGACTAACTCATGAGATGTTAACCGAAATTCCGAAGTACGTTTTTGTTTCGAAAAGGTTACGTAAGTAGGGTTGTAAAACTAATCATCTTGCAGCATTATTCCAGAATAATTCAGTTACCTCAGGATGCCAGCTTTCGAACGAATTTATTTCCAGCCTTATGCATTAATCAAACTTTGTAAAAAATGACAACTTAATCGGCATGAATTTGTCTCATTAATATTTGATGACCTTGCAACTTCAACTATATTTCATGGAAAGCATGCATAAACATATTAATTCTTTTGCTCATTCGGTTGAAAATTACGTCTGTTTCCAATTATATACTCGAAGGAAAACCTTAATTTGGTTTTGAAAAAACGTTTTAAATTCCCGAATAATTATGTACTCTACCCGCGATTGCGCTTGCATCCAGGGTTCCAAACTACGATTCGTATATTTTCCGCGTACGGATAACATACATTTCTCTACGGTATTAAGAAGAGAGTATATGGGGTTCATAAAATTTAGTAGTCGATTTGAACCAAGTCGTTAACTCTATAGGCCACATTGGTACATGCAGAGATACGATGCTCTACGAACGGGCATTTCGCGGTATTAAAAAGTCCTTCAATTAAAAACTTTTTAAAACTAAATTATACCCTTTTTCGAGTTTAAAATTGGAAGAAGGCGTAAGTTTCTATCGAAGGACGGAAAGATTGAGTATGTTTATGCATGGTTTCTATAGAATATAATTGAGTATTTAAGGGTATCGCAAATCATTGATAAAAATGCATGCTACATAAATAGTTATTTTATACAGAGCACAGTTTTTGAATGAAACCGGAAAGAAGTTCATTCGAAAGCCGGCATCCTGTGGTAACTGACATTTTACGGAATTATGTTGCTGGCTGACTAGTTTTCAACCGTACGTAATTAATCTTTTCATAAGGAAAACGCGTTTCGAAATTTCGGTTACAGTTTATAAGGTAGCCCACCTACTGTAGGTCACATGACCGTGGTCGAACACTGACGGGTCTGCTGGGAGACAGGCAACTAGGCGTCGACTTCGTATAACCATTTCGCATAAAGTGATCCCTGAGGTATTCAGCTTTACTCGCCATTTTCTTCAGGGTTGCTATAGGGGAGTTTTTGCACACGGCTTCATCTGGGAGCCAGCGGGATGGTTGCCCTAAAGCTGAGAAACTGCTGTCGCTGACTTCCTGTACACTGTTGTCTCTATTTCGCCGTTGAAAATTCTCCTTCCGACCAAGCCAACTAAAGGCAGCAGCTACTCTACTTCTTCTTCAGTCGTGTATTGTATATCTGGGCATTGAGTTGTGTAACCAGTTCCGACATCAAACCTGAGACTAAGGAGCCCATTCGAGTTCCACGGATCTACGCTTGGGTTTTTTTTCGCCCAATTTAAATGAGCTCTGATTTTTGTTATATGCCTTAACAGTTCTTCTGCGCAGGAAATCATGCGTCTTGTTTTGTAGGCTGGAGGCGAGTACCGATGTCACATCGAAAAATATCAATATATTTTGTCTGGTGGAATCCTCAACAGGTCGAACTGAGGTTGTTGAATTGTGTCAAAGGAACTTCAGTTTTGAATACATTTATTTTAGGAAGCCCATTTGTCGGCATTCGCGAGATTTATGTGAATTCACGTCAGACCAGTATACGCAACGCGTTTGTGTGGACAGATGGACCGTAATCAATTACTCTTATCGCTCACATGTTTTACTTTGTACCTCGTACCGACCCTGACGAGAATTTGTCGAAAGCACGCGTATGCCCGCCGAATTGCTGAATTGTTCCAGGGGGATTTTCGCAACTCCAAAACAGTGCGTTCATTTTGACGAGTTATAGGTAGGGTTGCCTCATCTGGCAGTGATCATCAAAAGTGAATTATTTAATTTGTGGTTTTATGGATGATCGTAGAATGGGCTCATAACGATATTCACTGGTTACATTTGGCGGTATTCGTTCACCGTGATCACACTTTTGTGCCTAACTTCTACAAGTAATTTATGTGAATGCCCTGTTATTGAATAGACTTGTGAGTTCTTTGGTCTGTTGAGCTTTGCCACTGTACTTATCTCGGTCCATAACGACAACTGTTCGTCTTTTATCACCTGACAGAAGGCGTGTTAACTCACGAAATGTCAACCAAAAATCTGGAATGCTTTTTCGACTCAAAAAGATGATTTACGTTTGGTTTTAAATTACTCATCGTGCAGTATAACTCTACAATAATGAATTTACCTCTGGAGGCCGCCTTTCAAACAAACCTCTTTCCGGCCGCATGAGAAAACCACACTGCAAAAATAACCGCTTAAGTAGCGTGAATTGTTCTCGTTGATTTTCGATGTCTTTGAAAATTTAATTATAGTTAAGTAGAAGATGCATAAAAATAGACATTATTTTACTCTTTCTGTAGAAAATTACGCCTTCTTCCAAGTTTATACTCAAAAGAAAGGTTTAAAACGGTTTTCAAAAAGTGTCCGTCTATGAGATTGTATAGTACAGCGAAATGCCCGTACATAAAACACCATTTCACCGCATTTACTAATGTTGGTGGAAGAGTTTACAATATGGCCTAAATCCGCCGCTAAATTTTATGAATCCCATATGGTCTCTTAATAGTGAAGTGAAATGTATGGATTTTCACACGCTGAAAATATACGGTTTATATCATGGAAACCCTGAATGCAAGTTCAATGGCAGCTCGGGTTCCAAATTATTTGGACACTTAAAACTTCATTCAAAACCGAATCATATTCTTTCATCTAGCAAATAGTTAGAAGAAGACGTAATTTTCCGCACCATAACTCTGATCGCCAACGAATGAGACCGCCTTCGATCGCAAAAATCATTTCCGTTAAGTGTATGATGGCAAGTGCTCTCTTAAGAACTTTTTATACGCTGCCTTGAACGACTGCAATTGCAATAAAATCTAGGCAGCGCATAGAACTGTGGTGTATAATTTCAGACAGACCAGCATTTCCTAATGCTCCGAAATTTTACGACGCTTTTTTTAAAACAAGAACGTCTGGTGAATAGACTGAACAGCTGCAATTAGTGTATGCAATTTTGAGGAGTCTAGAGGGCGAGGACTAACACAGTTAAAAGGTAGAGGCATGTCACCCAAGCCAAGAAGTACGTAAGCCTTTTGGTAGCGCTTGGGGAGCCGTATGAACTGCGTTTCTGCTGAAATGCAGCAGCGGCGGCTATAAAACGCGAGGAGACAGAAGTTATTTGGTAAGCGCATTTATTCACTAGGTGCTCGATGACCGGATAATGCTTTCGTCGGGAACGACAAAAAATTCAAAACTCCGACATGTATAACTGGACGTGGCGATAACCACTTTCATCCTATACTAAAAAGCGGGATAGAAACAAAAGAATAGATTGTTCAGTATGATGGTGCTTATACAGTTTTATAATTACAGTTCTAGTAGAGGAGCGCTCACCGAAATGTTCTGACGGAAATCACTCGTCCCGCTGTGCCTTATGGGATCTCTCTCAAGCTCAAACAGCAGCCGCACAGTGGCGCATGATATATAGGCAAAATGGTAATACCGACAAAGAAAAGGGAGACTGAAAGGGTCATTTCTGGCTCATTAGCCGTCGTCAGCCAGTCATACTCAAGCCCAAAATGTGGAACAGTCGAGGCTCGAACTCGCGACCTACGCCTCTAACCACTGAGCCACGAGCCCGTTGCCCTGTCAGTTTCGATCGGGAATATACAATGGTGGAGGTGAGCTCGCCGATCGTTTCTACGGAAAGCACTCGTCCAGTTATGTTATGTATTTACAATATTTGCATGTATGAAGTACCAGCTCATGTTCACCGTTTAACTTTAGCTAAAGCAGCCTTTCCCAGCACTTTTATGAGAAGTCCCGCTCAGGCCGTCCATTCACAAGTACATCTGCATAATTCCCCGTTAACCTGGTATACCTACCTGCCTAACACTGCCTTAAGCATCACTACATCATTTATTTTGCTGGAGTATGAAGATGATGGAAATGTTGAAGAAGAAGACACGATCGCTGGGACAAGAGCTTTATTAGCCTGACGTTTCGGGTTCCTGCTAGAATCCATCATCAGAGACAACAGCAGATGTTATATCTGCTGATGGGTTCGAGCATGCGTACGGGCTATTCACGCCTGTCCAGGACTAATTGCATACTCGGCATTTTCTTAGGAAACTATGGGATATTCGTTTGCTCAAGCTTCGCTAGATCAGCTGTGTAGCTGCTATGGTGTATATTTTTATATACACAGGATGCATTCTCAGAATTCACTACTGCTGTGAAATTTCAATTGGCCTGGAATTGGTACAATAAACGGTATGATAACATTGCCGAGGCACTTATATGATAGTAATTTAAACAGTACTCGACAGCAGTCTCGAATCAGAAAAAAGGAAGATTCCTAAGCAAATTAGGTAAACGTTCTTCGGTGACAATTACTCTTTTATAAATATTTTATAAAGCTACGGCGGACGGCTATTCATTTCTTTCTAAATTGGGGAGTGTAATAGAAGGCTATCGCAAGTACTATTATCTCCCAAACCCAATATGGACTGTACACGAGTATTGCATAACACCTGACAGCCTTCGTCTGTGCGGACTGCATTACAATCGAAAAAAGGAATCTTGTCTGGAAAACGTCTTTTTGTGTTCGCAACAAACGCCGTTTTCAAATGGGAAAGCACAAAAAACGTAATGTATTTGTTAATATTTAGTGTCTTCTTCGGGGTTAGGTATGATGGGCTGACGGCGGTTAATAAGCCAGAAAGGTTCTTTTCAGTATCCCTTGTCTTTGTCGGTAATAACGATCTGACAAGCTTAAAATTCACTTTGCGGTTGCGGGTTGGGGCTAGAGAGAGCACCCGTAAGGCACAACGGGACGGGTAAGT